ATGAGGATATGTGGAGAAGATAACGGTTAACCCTAGACTTGAACAGGTTAAGATTGTAGTGATCGGGGAAGCATCCTCTTGGGAGTCGGTTCCACAAAGTAAGAGGTAAGAAGCACAGTTTATGAGGATATGTGGAGAAGATAACGGTTAACCCTAGACTTGAACAGGTTAAGATTGTAGTGATCGGGAAAGCATCCTCTTGGGAATCAGTTCCACAAAGTAAGGTTTTATGAGGATATGTGGAAGATAACACCCTAGAAAGGTTAAGAGGTATCCTCTTGGGAATCGGTTCCACAAAGTTTAAGAAGCACAGTTTATGAGGATATGTGGGGAAGATAACGGTTAACCCTAGACTTGAACAGGTTAAGATTGTAGTGATCGGAGAAGCATCCTCTTGGGAGTCAGTTCCACCAAGTAAGAGGTAAGAAGCTCGGTTTATGAGGATATGTGGAGAAGATAACGGTTAACCCTAGACTTGAACAGGTTAAGTGATCGGGAAAGCATCCTCTTGGGAATCGTTCCACAAAGTAAGAGGTAAGAAGCACAGTTTATGAGGATATGTGGAGAAGATAACGGTTAACCCTAGACTTGAACAGGTTAAGATTGCATCGGAGAAGCATCCTCTTGGGAGTCAGTTCCACAAAGTAAGAGGTAAGAAGCACAGTTTATGAGGATATGTGGAGAAGATAACGGTTAACCCTAGACTTGAACAGGTTAAGATTGTAGTGATCGGGAAAGCATCCTCTTGGGAATCGGTTCCACAAAGTAAGAGGTAAGAAGCACAGTTTATGAGGATATGTGGAGAAGATAACGGTTAACCCTAGACTTGAACAGGTTAAGATTGTAGTCATCGGGGAAGCATCCTCTTGGGAATCAGTTCCTAAGTAAGAGGTAAGAAGCACAGTTTATGAGGATATGGAGAAGATAACGGTTAACCCTAGACTTGAACAGGTTAAGATTGTAGTGATCGGGAGGCATCCTCTTGGGGAGTCAGTTCCACCAAGTAAGAGGTAAGCTCGGTTTATGAGGATATGTGGAGAAGATAACGGTTAACCCTAGACTTGAACAGGTTAAGATTGTAGTCATCGAGGAAGCATCCTCTTGGGAGTCGGTTCCACAAAGTAAGAGGTAAGAAGCACAGTTTATGAGGATATGTGGAGAAGATAACGGTTAACCCTAGACTTGAACAGGTGATCGGAAGATCCTCTTGGGAGTCAGTTCCACCAAGAAGAGGTAAGAAGCGGAGGATATGTGGAGCATCCTAGACTTGGGTTAAGATTGGTGATCAGGGGCATCCTCTTGGGAGTCGGTTCCACAAAGTAAGAGGTAAGAAGCACAGTTTATGAGGATATGTGGAGAAGATAACGGTTAACCCTAGACTTGAACAGGTTAAGATTGTAGTGATCGGGAAAGCATCCTCTTGGGAATCGGTTCCACAAAGTAAGAGGTAAGAAGCACAGTTTATGAGGATATGGGAGAAGATAACGGTTAACCCTAGACTTGAACAGGTTAAGATTGTAGTGATCGGAGAAGCATCCTCTTGGGAGTCGGTTCCACCAAGTAAGAGGTAAGAAGCTCGGTTTCCCCCATGAGGATATGTGGGAGAAGATAACGGTTAACCCTAGACTTGAACAGGTTAAGATTGTAGTGATCGGAGAAGCATCCTCTTGGGAGTCGGTTCCACCCCTAAGTAACAGGGTAAGAAGCATCGGTTTATGAGGATATGTGGAGAAGATAACGGTTAACCCTAGACTTGAACAGGTTAAGATTGATCGGTGATCCTCTTGAAGCATCCTCTTGGGAGTCGGTTCCAGGAAGTAAGAGGTAAGAAGAGAAGCATCCTCTTGGGAGTCAGTTCCACCAAGTAAGAGGTAAGGTTTTATGAGGATATGTGGAGAAGATAACGGTTAACCCTAGACTTGAACAGGTTAAGATTGTAGTGATCGGGGCAGCATCCTCTTGGGAGTCGGTTCCACAAAGTAAGAGGTAAGAAGCACAGTTTATGAGGATATGTGGAGAAGATAACGGTTAACCCTAGACTTGAACAGGGTAAGATTGTAGTGATCGGGAAAAGCATCCTCTTGGGAATCGGTTCCACAAAGTAAGAGGTAAAAGCACAGTTTATGAGGATATGTGGAGAAGATAACGGTTAACCCTAGACTTGAACAGGTTAAGATTGTAGTGATCGGATATCCTCTTGGGAGTCGGTTCCAGTAAGAGGTAAGAAGCGGTTTAACCCCTAGACTTGAACAGGTTAAGATTGTAGTGATCGGGGAAGCATCCTCTTAAGTCATTCCACAAAGTAAGAGGTAAAAGCTTTTATGAGGATATGTGGAAGATAACGGTTAACCCTAGACCCGAACAGGTTAAGAGGTAATCGGAAGCATCCTCTTGGGAGTCAGTTCCACCAAGTAAGAGGTAAGAAGCTCGGTTTATGAGGATATGTGGAGAAGATAACGGTTAACCCTAGACTTGAACAGGTTAAGATTGTAGTGATCGGGGAAGCATCCTCTTGGGAGTCGGTTCCACAAAGTAAGTGGTAAGAAGCACAGTTTATGAGGATATGTGGGGAAGATAACGGTTAACCCTAGACTTGAACAGGTTAAGATTGTAGTGATCGGGGAAGCATCCTCTTGGGAGTCGGTTCCACAAAGTAAGAGGTAAGAAGCACAGTTTATGAGGATATGTGGGGAAGATAACGGTTAACCCTAGACTTGAACAGGTTAAGGTTGTAGTGATCGGGGAAGCATCCTCTTGGGAGTCGATTCCACAAAGTAAGAGGTAAGAAGCACAGTTTATGAGGATATGTGGGGAAGGTAACGGTTAACCCTAGACTTGAACAGGTTAAGATTGCAGTGATCGGGAAAGCATCCTCTTGGGAGTCGGTTCCACAGAGCAGTGGTTTGCGGGAACAAGCTGCTCGGGTGAAATATTTCTCACCGATGGATGTATCATGCCGGTTTCTAACCGTGAAGGTTACCACTGGCGCATATAATTGTTATTAGATCCTAAAAGTGTGCTTACGACAAGAAGGTATTTTTGACTGAGTTTAAAAATGAGTGAATAGCAGTGAAGAATTAAGCAGCACTTTGTTTTCCTGATGCTGTCTAAAATATCCAAGAGAAGACTCAAAGAGTAAATATTTTAAAAGAATTCTCTACAATAAACGCATATGCCGATTCTCTGGTAACCCAGTTAACAAATTGGTTTATTTTGAATATACATATATATATATATATGTGAATGTGCGTGGCTTATGTCATTGTGTATGCAAACTTTCAGGTCATCATTAAAATCAATCAGTTTGTTAAGTGCCATACGTGATAACCGCTTAGGCGATCATGTCTCTTTCGATTCATAACTGACGAGGCAGATGATTTTTTCGTAGTCGGTTGTCATTTCTGGTTGCCAAGCAAGGCTATAGGACCAATTCTGTCCTGCTGTTCATCCCATAGTTCGGTGGGTAAAGTTAGATTCATGCCTTTCCCAAAATCGTTTGTGCGTAAATGATTCTAACGAACCCGATTGGATATCGGATTCCTCATGCCATTACACTATCCGCACGTATTTTAAATAAGTATATGATGAAAAAACAATGGCCATACTGAAAACGTCTGCTTTTTTCATATTTTCTTTTAAACGCCATGTTGCCGTTGAACTGGTCATAGTGCATTTATATTTTTGTTCTTTCAGAAATTGAGATTGCCACTCAGGATTAGAGGGTGTTGCTGTGTGGCGGCATTACGAAAGAAAGAAACATCCAAACTTAGATCCTATCGAGTGCCGGGTGTCTAAAAGGTTACGGTATGGTAAGACGGATATAATCCAATAACTTTCATTAAAAGTCGGTTATTTTCGTGAAGTAGGAGTTGTGGAGAATGTATTTACAAGGGCGTCCAGATGATGAGCATTTTTTTTTTTTTTACACAATTTGGTTAATTCCCTTCCCGGTAAAAAAAAAAAATTAGCCGCTTTAAGTTACGTTTTGGTTTTAACACAAAGAATTCAATTCCGTCGGCTTTTTTTAGGTCATAATTGCGAAAACTTCTTTTTTAGTTTTTCTATTTATGTTGTGTGCATGTGTGTTTATATGTGATTGTGAGTTTGCATGGGAGTAAGTGAGTGTGTGCATGTGAGTGTGTGAATGTGAGCGTGTGCATGTGAGCGTGTGGAGCGAGTAAGAGTGTGCGCGTGTGTTTGTATGTGTTTACACTGCGTATATATAACGTTGTATGACAATAAGTGTGTGACTGTTTATGGAAGATGAGTGAGTGTGAGCTTAATGTCCCTGTCTGTGACAGTGAATGCATGCATATGCATAGGATTGTGTGTGTGTGTGCCTGTGTGTGTGTGTGTATGTGTGTGTGTGTGTCTCTCTCTCTCTCTCTCTCTCTGTGTGTGTGTGTGTGTGTGTGTGTGTGTGTGTGTGTGTGTGTGTGTGTGTGTGTGTGTGTGTGTGTTTTTGTATACGCGGGCACGTGCTTTCCTGTGGTTAGAAGTGAACGTGCGTGGGTGTGAATAATCATGCAGTAAGCGTGTGTGTGTGTGTGTGCATGCGCGCGCGCGTGTGTGTGTGTGTGAATACTTGTCCCTGCATGTATATGTGTGTGTCTCTGTGCAAGAGTGTATGTGAGATTTTTTGGGGGGGAGGTGGGGGGTTGAGCATGAGGCGCACTTGTAGATATATCTGTATGTGGATGAATCTCCGAAAGTGAACGACTCTCTGTGAGTCGATATGTGTGCTGATGGTTCGTTGTGGCTTTCTTTGCGCTTTTTTGGCAGAAAAATTCATATGCGGCCGAATGGCGCGCCTGCGCGCACACAAACACGAACGCACATGCACTGATAAAAAATATACCTCAAATTTTCCATTATTATAGAATTTACTTCGTAAGTAGCCTTCAAATATCCGCCACATAATGCTTAAAGTAAATTTATTTTTATGCCAATTTAAAAAAAAAAACAAAATAAAAGTATTTTCTTTTCTCCATTTATCTTTCTTAAAGCGAAAGAAAGAGGAAAAGAAAAAGAAAAGGGAAAAAGAAAAAGAAAAGGGAAAAAGAAAAAGAAAAGAGGAAAAGAAAAAGAAAAGGGAAAAAGAAAAAGAAAAGAGGAAAAGAAAAAGAAAAGGGAAAAAGAAAAAGAAAAGAGGAAAAGAAAAGGGAAAAAGAAAAACACTATAAAAAAAAAGCTTTTTAAACTATAATTTTAATTTACGTCCTTTTTTCTTCTTTTTTAACAGACAACTTTCTATTAATTTTTTTTGCAATTAAAACAAAATTTAAAACTTTTTTTTTTTAATTCTCTTCAACTCAAGGCCATGACGGTCAGTACGTTGCGTTATTTCTCTTTTCATGTTTTTAAATCCACTGCTTAAAATCAAATTATAATATGTCATTGTTGAATGTACTCTTAGTATGAAATGGTAAGCTTAGGATTTTTTTGATAATTTTTAATTATTACTGTATGTTGCAAATACTACTGAGCCGGCCGTAAGGCTAACGGTCGCTTAGGGTTAGGTAGAGAGAGAGTATATAATTCGATAATTTTAATTCAAATTACATTTTTAATTGCTGCACACTCATACTAGAAACTTCCCCGCAAATACTGGTCATGTTTTTTTTTGTTTTGTTTTTTTTAGTTTTTTTTTTTATCTTTCTTTATTTATCTATGTACTTATGAATTATAACGATCAATGTAGGTCGGCCTAAATGAACAGACTAAAAATAATTTTTCGTCGACATGACACACGTGTGTTGTCAGCTATCAAACCCCGTTTTCGTTTGTAATTTATGTCGAAACATAAGTCTTTATATGCGTGTGTTCCGCTATATATATGCCATGTGTCTATGTATGAACATTATTGCCTTTTTAGAGAGAGGTAGGTGGCGAGTATGTGTGTGCACGGTTCGAGTCAGTGAAGAAAAGAAAAGAAAAGAGTCAAGACGGACGACAGATGAAGTATGAGTCATGAAATAGTGACGTATTAACTACTGGCCAATCAGAACAGCGGTTTAATTGAGTACGCAAGTTACTTTATAATCGTTGTGGGTAGGCGCCGCGCACCAGGCCACGTTCAGTCGGCGTTGGTGTGCGTCTAGCTATTCCTTACAGTAGCAGTAGCTACTTGATCTACCACAAGCAAGCCGTGACTTTTTTTGTTGTTGTTACTCTCTACGTTAGTACCTCCGCCCTAATAACAACAGTTTTGAGTGGTGTTACTAATGCTTTTTTTTAGTATAAGCAATTGCAAGAAGTTAAAATATCCTCACTGCATTAAGAAAAGTAAACATCGTAAGTGAATGATTTTCTGCCTCTACAACACACACGACGTCTTTCACTTAGTCGCTCTATCAAATGAAATGATGGAATGTTTTTTCTTCAGTTAAAGTTTTCTTACGGAAAGAAACAACTAAACAGCCTGGAAATATCTTAATATCAATTTAGCGAACGTGAATTACGAAAGCTCTAAAAAAAAAAAAAAGTTAAACGAAACAAAGGCTAAAACCACGGAACAAAAACTTGTGCGATCTCTCGGGTAAATGCAAGGACACTTTTTCAACACTTTTTTTTGTCACCAGAACTATTCTCACTGGATGTACGATTTCTGATTTCCCAGAAGTGGTCAACAGTTGTTAATCTTTTTTTCTTTTCTTTTTTTTTTCTGTAAAGTATATTTCAGACTATTTTCTTTACATTCACAAATCGTTAAAAAAAACTGTCACTTGCCTTTTTTTTTTTCGTTTTTTTCTTAATTGATTTTTTATTTCTTTAATAAAATCATCGACTTTTGAGAAAAGTTCGTCGAAAAAGAAAACCCATAAACGACGGCTGCGAGCCCAGCAAGGAATTGGTGCCTTACCAAATAATGGCGCCACAGATAATGGATCAGAACACCAATTTGTTACCTGACAAAGAATTGGGGGCCCAGACATCGTCGGACGAGGCCAATGACAATATTATCCAACACCCGAAAGTCAAGTGTGTTCTTGTCGGCGATGGTGCCGTAGGGAAAACAAGTCTAATTGTTAGTTACACCACAAATGGATACCCCACGGAATATGTCCCTACAGCATTTGATAATTATTCAGGTTAGTAAGTTTTTTTTTTTTTTTTGTTGTTTGTTTTTTTTTTTTTTTTTATCTTTTTGTAATCCCAAAAACGTTGTAAGCTTTCTGTTATTTACATGCACTGCTTGTTGGTTGAGAAAGTTGCATCTCTCGCGTGGTGTTTGAGCGTAGAAAAAAACTCAGGATTTTTAATCCCGATTTTAAAGGCTGGCTGGCTGTTTAAAGAGCGAAAGTTAAACAGTGTTACACTTACGCTTAAATAATGATGGCCTTTTGTCAAACTAACCAACTTTTGTTCCATAAAGCACTTTGAGGATCCAATCATTTTTCCGGTCATTCCCTAAGGCATTGGCATGCAGGTCAATAGGCAGACGGGGTCTTCTCTTTGTATGACTTTTACTTCTTCTTATGAATGTGTATGGCTTCTTCTTCTTCTTATGAATGTGTATGGCTTCTTCTTCTTCTTATGATTGTGTATGTCTTATTATTGTTATGAATGTGTATGGCTTCTTCGTCTTATGAATGTGTATGGCTTCTTCGTCTTATGAATGTGTATGGCTTCTTCGTCTTATGAATGTGTATGGCTTCTTCTTCTTATGAATGTGTATGGCTTCTTCGTCTTATGAATGTGTATGACTTTTACTTCTTATGAATGTGTATGGCTTCTTATGATTGTGTATATCTTATTATTGTTATGAATGTGTATGGCTTCTTCTTCTTATGAATGTGTATGGCTTCTTTTTCTTATGAATGTGCATGGCTTACTCTTATTCTTCTTATGAATGGGTATAGCTTTTTCTTCTTAACCCTTTGTTACTACTGTGAGGAATTGTCACAGAATTAATAATGCCATAGAGTTTTTCAAAAATGACATTTAAAATATTATAGATATATTATTTAGTCCTTAATATAGTGTTTTTTCCTGGTTTTTATAGGATAAATAAAATGAAAATAAAATAAACAAGATTTCATTTCTAAAAATTGAATTCAAAGGTCAAATATTAAAAATGAATTTTTAGGTGTCATTTTCTTTTCAGTAAACAAATAAAACTGCTTGTAATTCACATAATATGACTAACACCAGAAACTCCTTATAGTTAATTCACGGAGGTACTTAGAAAATTAGTTGACTAATCATGAAAATTTGACTTGCCACTTGCTAAATAAATATTACGAAAAAACATTTGGTGGTGTTTTCAAACGCCTCACGGTTAAAGGGAAGGCTAAGGTTGTTTTTATTTTCATATGGTTTCTTTCTATAATCATTGTAATTCTTACTCATGTGCATTATAGCGAAAGCTTCGTTGCAATTCTCTGAATCTATTGAACACAATCATATTAACCAATGTAGTTTAATTCAGAATCCTTTACAGAGTATAGATTCGTACTTAGGTTGGCGTTCATGTTTACTGTTATTTACTGAAGTTAGAGCTTGATTCATGATAAAGGACAAAGAGAGGGGAATGAATAATAGAAAGATAATGTAGCGCCAATCTTCGAGCTACTGGCAGAAAATATTCAACTCTCGCATCCACAAAGTAGGGACTGAAAAGCCAGATTTTCAAATTCAAGTATCAGACTCTTCTTCACACTCGTCAGATTGACGCAATACAATCACCTTCTAATTATTACCTCTATTTTTAACTCTATTCCAGACACAAAGCTAAATTTATTCTTCTGTTGTTGTTTGGGAATGTTCTGTTACTAATCCCGACACGACACAAAATTAAAACGATCGCTACATCAACAATAACCACTCGGCCACGTTGAACTAAATATGTTGTGGCCTTAGTTTTGTTTCAATTAACATCGCTTTATTGAGCGTGTGTGGGTGATGTCTACGATGCAATTGTTGCAGTAAAAACAAACACATTTTTATTTGTGTTATAATTAAAAAAAAAAAAAAAAAAACTTATTCTCTTTATCGTAAAAGAACGGAAAGACGTCAAGGCTTTTTTAAAAAATATGATGAATTGTTTTTTTTTAACGTTTTTTAATCGATGACAATTTTTTCAATAGCTATCTTTGTGTTTTGTCACTGATGTTATTGTTCACCCTGTAATAAGGCCTGGGAAAGGACAATGATAAACAAAATATATTCTTGACAGATAACGAACAATTAGATTTATATGGTGATCTTCCACGTGTAGCTTACATGTGGCACAAGGCCGAAAGTATGGGGTACCCAGTAAGGATCGAACTCACCACTCGTTGTAACAAGACAAGCTTCCGCACCATTACACTACGCCGAGGTACCACAATTATATTTGCCTGTCATTCAGTTTTGCTTGACGATAACTTATGGAAAGGAAGCGTGTTTTCGCGCGCCTTTTGCCTAACAACATGAAAAATGAAACCGTCGAGCTGAGTTCAAATCCTGGTGGAGTTAGTCTGTGTTCAATTTAATATTCTTGGGGGTAAAATACATTTAGATTAGAAATCTATCGCTCTGAATAGGTTACAGTTGAGATTCTTTCTGTTACTGATACTATGTAACGCAATCCAGCCTGTCTTTTGAAAAGGATGTAAGTTCCACCCAAGCGACTTCTCCCCACGAACTGCTGCACTATGGAAACGACTCCCAAGAGGATGCTTCCCCGATCACTACAATCTTAACCTGTTCAAGTCTAGGGTTAACCGTTATCTTCCTCACATATCCTCATAAACTGTGCTTCTTACCTCTTACTTTGTGGAACTGACTCCCAAGAGGATGCTTTCCTGATCACTACAATCTTAACCTGTTCAAGTCTAGGGTTAATCGTTATCTTCCCCACGTATCCTTATAAACTGTGCTTCTTACCTCTTAATTTGTGGAACCAATTCCCAGGAGTGTGCTTTCCCGATCGCTACAATCTTAACCTGTTCAAGTCTAGGATTAATCGAGGATATCTCCACATATTCCCATAAACTGTGCATCTTACTCTGTAACCCTCTACCTCGAGTGGCTCCCGAGCCTTGTACAGGATGAATATCATTGTAAAAAGATAGGCATCGACTACTAATCGTCTCTTCCCTCTATATGTGTATGTTTGTGTATGTGTGGATGTGTATGTCTTTGTGTGTACGAATGTTAGCATGCCTTTTTATAAATATGTTATTCATTTGAA